TAGTGTAAGATTATGTGATGTACATTGCCAAATTTACCTTCCTAAGGACAAAAATGTGGATGATATCGTACCTATCCTGCGAATAGGACTTATTTTGTAAAGTTATGATACTTATAATTAGCGTGTGGACAATCGCGCCAGACCGCTCTTGGCAGATTTCTGACTTTAACTTCTAAATCGTATACCTATCGTTCAATCAAAAGCATCTTGTACAGAATAGATGTGACTTTCGTAATCTGCACTCAAAATCAACCTAATCAAGCAAGGTGCATAGAAGTCTTGCGATTTTAAAAAGAATAAAGGCGGTGACTTAGCTGTTTTTGTCCATAATGATCTATTCAATCTTTTAAGTTAAGTAAAACAAAATCGTTGGAAGTAGGTAGCTCGCATTTTCATAAATGGAGACGTTATCTTAAATCATGTACACGATCTTAGTAAAACTTTCGAATTATCTACCTAAATTTGAAAAAACGGCATGGACTTATCTGACAACACGAAAAATGAAATCAGCGCCTACCCAAATATGTGCCATCATATTTACTCGTATAGTCTTCTCGATAAATTCATCAGATTTGTCGAGGAAATCACCACCATCACATAGGATCCCGGCATTGTTTACTAATATGTCAACAATACCAACTTCAGATATTACTGTAGATGCAAGGTTATAGATGGACTGACGATCAGACATATCTACGCGATAGATGTGTGCCTAAAAAATGGCTTTTCGATAATATTCGCAATGAATCATACATATCTCTGCCATGTATTTTAAACATACGTTTTCAGTTATGTATTTTTTGCAGCAATTTTTTTACAAATTCTCTGAAATCTCCTATCTTGAGAATAGTAAAATGATGGGGGGTAATTCATAAAAAATTTCATTCAAAATAATGTATTATTATTATGTTTAACTAAAATCGCCTACCTCTGCACCTAAATCTTCACACATTCTCTTCGTTTCTTTATTACCCATCTCATCAATATCCCATAGTACTAGTCTACACCCTGTTGTAGCAAACTTTACCGCAATTTGACGACCAAGTCCATTAGCAGCACCAGTGATTAGAACAACCTAAGAATCATAAAATTCGGTAGTACAAAAATCAAATCTGGAAACTAACAATCC